TTATTATTAGTACAACTTAAATATCCCTTAGATCTTAATGTACCTTGATTGGTCAGACCCTGAAAACCTTTTCTTGGAGACTGATGACCTAATCCTAGCAGGGTCAGCAAATCACTGAATTTTTTTTTCTTTATGTCTTTTGGTGGCTTTAAATCAGTTATTTCTGCAAACACTTCACTTAAGTCTTTGTATGGAGTTTTAGTGCATGTACCTGTTATGGTCATTTTCCTACTCAGCTTCACGAGGAAATCATCAAACTGGATTCCAGGTTTTTTTTTGTTGTTTTTTAAAAGATTGTATTTTTAAGTAATCTCTGCACCCAGCGTGGAGTTCAAACTCAGAACCCTGAGATCAAGAGTTGCATGTTCCACTGACTGAGCCAGCCAGGCGCCCCTCACCTGGATAAGTTGATTAGACTTGCGGGTCATCTGGACCCACAGGTCTCTGCCCTGGCGTGAGAGGATAAGCTTGCAATCTCAGCTAAGTACTGAATCCAGTGAGTGAGCATCGAGTGGACATCTCTTGCTAAAGGAGATGTATAATGGAGAAAACACTTGGCAGCTCTTGGCTAGACTGATAGCAATCTCAGTGAGGTTTTTTTTTGTTTGTTTGTTTTTGTTTTTTTTTTTAGTTTATTTACTTAAGTAATCTCTGCACCCGGTGTGGGGCTCAGACTCGTGACCCCTAAGACCAAGAGCCACCCGCTCTTCCAGCTGAGCCAATGAGGCACCACAGCAAGGTCATTTTTTAGTAGTAGAGGTTCTAGTTTACATTAGAAATCCCTTAATATACTTAATTTTTATTTTTTTTACTTATTTGTTTAGATGAAGAAAAAAGTAGAGTTAATTAGCTGGGATCATCATTACACCATTCATTCACCAACAATTTGGAAGGAATTTTTGGAGCTCCCAGGGAGTATTAACTTTGTCATAAGCATGACCTGCAGGTGGCAGCAGTTCCCATGTTATAAAAATGCAGTAACTAAGACCGTAGTACTTTATTTTATTAAAGAAACAGGTTTCTTTAGGGGATTTTAGTTTTCCTCCTTGTGTTCCATTATAGTCCTCTATACATACTGGTAGCTAGAATGGCATCTAGTGAGACCATCGAGGGAGAAATAGCAGTATTAACAAAAAAATATAAGACCAGTTAAAACTACACTTGAACCATATAGTTGGCATTGTGTTGTTACATAGAAAGTGTCAGTCCTGATAGTAGCACTTGTCTCCATCCACTAAAGGAAGCAAATTAAGTTCTCTCTGATGCCCCTAAGTATGACGGATGTGGTACCCGCTGATACTGGTAAAAATAGCCAGATAGTCTGCTCCCTGAACTTGGGCTCAATAAAAAAATTGGCCAGCAAACCAGGCTGAGGCTTTGTGGTCAGAGAGCTGACTTCAAGATGTTCTCACCAATGTTAGTGATAATTATCATCTTGGAGCATTCATGGATGATTACCCAGGTCGGCTAAAGGTTTACCACTCCCAAGAAATTGCATAACTTTTCTGAGCCAGAGGGCACTTTGGAGAGGATAGTGCATGTTGAGAACATAGTGAAATTCTGATGCCAAAGTTGTAAATACAAAGTCAGCATAGTTACTTCTTTTCTTTGCTTGGCTCTTTTTTCCCCCTCCTTCATTGAATCAACAAACTAAACTAAACTAAATTAAACTAGTATTAACGCAATGTCAGTGCATAGGAATTTGAAAGATGATGGTGTGTCATACTTTCATTCTCGTTCCATTTCTTGCAGCCTTTAGTGTTTCCAAGTATTCATTCACTTCCTTAACAAATATTAATTGCACACCTCGTGACGGGCCTTACTGTTTTTCTGGGTGCTGAGAATGTAGCAGTGAGGAACATAAACATAAATCTCTCCCCTTATACAACTTAAATTCTGGTGGAAAGAGACAGACACTAAGGAGATGACAGGGATTATCACCAGTGAAGTGCTATGGCGAGAAGTTGGGAGACGCCATAGGGAGTTAGGCAAGACAGAGTGATGTTGGAATTTTCAAGAAGGTAGAAGACTTCTTCAAGATAGCACTTGGACAAAGGCTTGGCAGTACCAGGCGGGCACCTGGAGAAGAGAGTCTGGATAGAGAGTGTGGCAAGAGCCCTTGGAGTGAGAGCATGTTGGAGGGCTCTGGGCACAGCATGGGAGCCAGTGAAGAGCTGAAGTGGACTGAGGAAGAGAGAGTAGTAAGAGGGTGGGGTAGGAGAGAATAGCGAGAAGTGAGATGGTGGAGGCCGACTACTTGACTTGAGCTTCTACTCTGAGATGGGAGCTTTTCGAGGGCTTTGAGCCAGAAGTGTAATAGGGTGTTAGGTTTTAGGAGAGTGTGTGAGCAAGGGTAGAAACAACCAGTTAAGAGACTTCTGCAGTAACTCAGGTGATAAATAACATGTGGCTTGGAGCACTGTGCCAGCACTTGGAATCCTGATAAGTGGTCAGATTCTGTACTTACCTTGAAGATGAAACTTCAAGGATTCACTAATAGATTGCATGTAGCAAGGAGAAAGTAGGCATCAGAGTTGATTTCTAGCTCCTTTTGTCTCAGTAGTTGAGACAGGAAAAGCTATAGGTGGCAGAGATTTGCTGGTAAAGATCAGGAATTTATTTGCGGATAGATGAGTTTGAGATGCCTGGTAAGGATCTCAGTGGAGATGTTGTGTAGGCAGTTGGGTATTATAGTCTGGAATTGAAGAGAGTCTCAGCCTGAAGATGGAAATACGGGAGTCAGTGTATAGATGGTATGTGAAATCATGAGACTGGATGAAATTACCAAGAGAGTGAGTAGTATGGGAGGAAGAGGTCCAAAGCCCAAGTCTTGGAGCCCCTTTCTCAAATGCCACGAGTTCAGGGTGATGTGAAGGACCCAACAGAGAAGACAGTGACTGGCCAGTAAGGTTAGAACATTGGAGTGTGATGTCCTGGAAGCCAGGTCAAGTGGGAAGGAAGGAGTGGTCAGCTGTCAAGTAATAGGAGCTCTAAGTGTTGACTTAGTGATGCATGTGATCATTGGTGACTTTGACAAGTGTCAAAGTGACAAGGGAGGTGAAAACCTGGAGTATGTTTGGGAAAGAATGAGGTATGCTCACAATAAGATAAAATGCTAACCAAACTGAAAATCAACTTTTCTTTGATCCATCAAAGAATGGAGATCACAGGGCAAACCACCACAAAAACTAAAGAAAAAAGAAAATGCAGAAAATACAGATCAGTTCACCTAAAGGAGAAGCTGCTGGAGCCAGTTATCAGGATTGAAGCAAATTACTGGGGGCTGAATGTGGACTCACTTGAGAGTTTAAAACTCCTGGGAGTTATGGTAAGCAGTCCCCCACACTTTGGTGGGTTTTACCTCCAGAAGTTTCCCCAGGCTCTCAATGTGAAGATGGCAGAAAAATCCCCTCCTGCAAGGTGGAAGGGGAGAGGAGCCATTTCAAAATAAACCCATGGCTTTGTTTCCATGGCAGAAGGCCGCATTCAAGGAAAACTGCTTTGCAAGAGTCTTCTCTGACCTTGGAGAAAGGCAGTTGGATGTCTTAAGCCCCCTCTAGCCTTTGTGTCTCACATTAAAAAAAAAAGGCTAAGACAGTTCTGAAGGTCTTGGCTGAGGGACTTCAGCTCACTAAAAAAAGACAAAACAGATTTCATCATAAGATATAGAATAATTCTCCTTAATACCATACTTAATACCAATTCCTTAATAATTCTCCTTAATACACCATCAGTAGGGCTCCAGTATTATAACAATGGATTACAGCTTTTGAGAAAGCTGCAAGACACAGACTCTATTTCAAGGAGTTTCTGGGGAAACCCAAACACAGAAAGGGAAGACAAAAACAAGGACACCAAAGGAAATCGAAACCTCTGACATAGGAGACATTGAACACAGCCTAGCTGCTAGTCGTGTAAACATAAAACCTCACACTCAAGGCCCATTTACCTCAGTTCCTGTTACCCAAGATATATTATGTCCAGCCAACAAAAGAAGGTATACAAGGGTGCTAAGACGCAGGGGAAAAAAGGCTGCTGAAACAAAGCAGGCATCAGAAACAGACTCAGATATGGCAGAGGTTTTAGTTACCAGGCTGGGAATTGAAAGTAACCATGATCAACATGCTGAGGTCTCTTGATGGAAAAAACGGACAACGTTTAGGAACCGAAGGGTACTGTACACAAAAGAGAGAAACTCTAACAATAAAAAAAAAAAATGCTAAAAACAAAAAACAAGAGAAACAAATGCCTTTGAGGGGCTCATCTGTCGTCTCAAAACACCTAAGGAAAGACCCAGCGAGCTTGAAAATATGTCAAGAAAAATGTTGCAAACTGAAATCTGAAGAGAAAAAAAAAATAGTTTTTTAAAACATATGGAATATCCAAGAACTGTGAGACCATTACAGAGGTATGACATAGGCATAATGGGAATACCAGAAGAGAGTGGGGGAGAGAGAAGAGAGCCCCAGTAGAGGTAACTCCAGAGGCTTTGCAATAAATGGGATCAGAGAATAAGGCTATGATAGGAGGGGGCAAATGGGGTGAAGAATTGTGTTTTTAGGGGCTCCTGGGTGGCTCCATCTGTTAAGCACCCAACTCGATTTAGGCTCAGGTCATGATCTCAGGGTCATGAGATCAAGCCGTGTTGGGCTCTGTGCTGGGCGTGGAGCTGCCTTAAGATTCTCTCCCCCGGGACGCCTGGGTGGCTCAGTTGGTTAAGCAGCTGCCTTCGGCTCAGGTCATGATCCCAGCGTTCTGGGATCGAGTCCCGCATCGGGCTCCTTGCTCATCAGGGAGCCTGCTTCTCCCTCTGCCTCTGCCTGCCATTCTGTCTGCCTGTGCTTGCTCTCTCTCCCTCTCTCTCTCTGACAAATAATTAAATAAAATCTTAAAAAAAAAAAAAAAAAAAGATTCTCTCCCCCTCCATGCCCAACCCCCAGTCTTGTGCATGCTTAATCTCTCAAAAAAAAAAAAAAAAAAAGTTTTGTTTTTAAGGCTGGCTTTGGTTGCTGCAGGTTGGCAAGCATCTTGCTGGAACAATGCCCTCAAGGAGGCAAGAGAAGGTGGGGTCTAGCGCACAAGTGGAGGGACTAGACAAAGAACAAATCATAGGAAGAAGGCAAAGCCTGAACGCAGGGCTCGCAGGTGGCTGTGTGTGATGGTGAAGCTTGTGGAAGTTTTTTTCCTGATTGCTTCCATTTTCAAGGTCATAGCTGAGAGAAAAGCTGGGAGAAGAGCAGGTGGAGGTTTGAGGCCTTATGAGTCTTTGAAGAGACTGAACAAACGAGGCGGGGGGAATATAATGTGGTTGCCAGCTGGTGTTGAGGCCTCCTTTAAAGCCCAAGTGATTATGTTCTGTTTATTATTATTACATAACTCAGTGTTCTGTCACAGTAAAATTTGTTGGGAATGTATCCCTGCTTCACTAGCACCTCCTCACAGTAAGGACTGGGGTTCCCAGGAGTAAGGCATCAAATTGCACAGTTAGATCTCCTTAGTAGGCCAGCTGACTAATCTCTTATCATACGGTATGCTGTTATTTCCCCTGGTTATTGTGTATGGTCATTTCTCTTGGCATATAGTTGAACAAATTGAACAGGTGCCTTCTACACATCAAGGCACTGAGAGGGATGGGATAGAGCAGTAGTGAAAGTCTGCCGTCATGTCCCTTTCATTTTGTGGGGAACAAAATACACATCAGGTAGTAAAAGAGCAGGATGAGGGGTAGGGACTCCGGATTGCTGCTTGATATTGAAGAGTCAGGGAAGATCTCTGATAAATTACATTGAAGCGAAGACCTGAAGGAAGGAGGGGAGTAAGCCTTTGATATATCTGGGGGGAAACTGTGGGCCAGGCCCTTGCATCTATGTCTACTTTCTAAGCAGATTAAATAGAAGAGATGACACCCATTTATGTCAACATACTGCTGGCATTTCCGAACTGCAAGAAAACGTTAAACACGTTCACTCCTATCTTCCTGAAATATAATACCATTTATACTCAATGGTACCTTTTTCCTCTTTGGGTATCAGATTTGGGGTTTTATAGATTCAACTTGTTCCACTTAGCTGTATTTAATATTTCCTTACCGACTCCATTTTTGCAACCTGGCCAGGGGGAGCCCCATTAAACTGGCTGCTTTGTCCTTTCAATACTGCCTCAAGCCTTTTTAAAAGCACCCTTATTTTTTGGCAACAAGGTATTCTAGGCCTGCTGTAATCCCTCCCACCCACCAAAATACAATTAGCTGTTTTCCAGAGTCCCGGTCAGCTGGGGAGTGTACATCCCACTTGACTGGCCTAAAAACTGGTTGTAGCCTGATTACACTGCTGTTGGGCCACCAGGGAAACACAGGCCTGGGAAAGAGATCTTTCTTAAAGTCCCGAGTTCACACAGGCATCTCCAATGTAGCCATCCTGACTGAATATTTTCATTTCATTCTAATATAATTTTCTAGAACATACCTACTTAAAATGTAATCCCTTCTTTACCAGATTAACAAAATATGGTATTTCTGTACCACAGAGTACTGTTTAGCAATAAAAAGGGAATACTCATACATGTTAAGTAGATTCGCATTATGCATCAAAAACATTATGCTGAGTGACAGAAGCCAGACCCACAAGATGCCATGCGGTAGAATTCCACCGATATGAAATATCCAGAAAGGATAAATTGTAGAGACAAAGCAGATCTGTGGTCACCTAAGGCTGGGGTAGGAATAGGGAGCTCTTGGGAGGATGGAAAAGGACGTGGTAGGAAATTGCACAGCTCCATAGACTAACTAAATATCATTGAGTTTATATTCAAAATAGGTGACTTTTATGGGCATGTAAATTATTTCTTAATACAACTAATACAAAATTGAACCCTTCTGCCAATTTCTACCTGTACCTCAGTTGGTTATACTGACCCAAGATGTTCCATCATATTTACTTTTCTAACGAAAAAATCCCACCTAAACCTATTTCCATACCCTGTGGTTTTTATATCCCTCCTGATCACAAATCTCCTTATTCTTTTTAGAAGCCATGTCCTTGTTTGGATCCCAGGTACAGCCAGAACATCACAATTTATTGCTCATGTGTTCATGCCCTCATCCCACCCATTTTACATGGGTGCCTCATTTTTATGAACTATTTTATTTCCCTCCGATGACTGAAGAGGTCAGCAGTTGCCAGTGATTGTGCCTTCCTTTAGAGCTGCTGTGAGGAGTCAATGTGAAGCTTTGCTCACCAGCTGTTCCCAAAATATGTAAATATCAACCCAAACCACCCTCTGACTTCCAGGGGTGCAACTTCACAAAGACACATTTTATTTGAAAATACTGGATTTAATAGAAAATATCACATTGTAAACAAGTCCATTGATCCATTAGCCTAAGACAGAATCACAGCACAATCAGGTATAAAAGCTCAAGACCAAACACTGGTACCAAACACAGCACTTGAAGAGAGACCTGAGCTGGTCTCTGAAAGATCTTTCCAGAGAGGAAGCAGCAGCTTCAAACAGGCACAGAAACAGGGAGGGGAAGGCAGCATCCACTCCACGAAGGTTTAAGAGAGTCAAAAGGCAGAGCAGTAAACTCATGTTGTGAACAAGGGGTGAAGGATAAAGGGTCAAAAGGGCTGTATTTCCCGATGTTCTGGGAACAGCAGAGCATGCCACAGGAACCTGAGCGGGTTGGAAGGGCAGGGTATTTTAAGTGGGGAAAGGCTATTATTAGGCAACTTTAGAAGCATTTGGTATGCTGTCTTGGCACTCACCTCTCAGGGCAGCAGGAGAACATGTCACTCATGTTGTGACAACTTCGGCCTAACAGCTGTTGCCCTGGCCCCTATCTCCTTAGCTGAACACACTGACACTGTGGCAGGATCTGTCGCCCCAGTGAGACCTTGGAACAAAAACACGGGGCTCTGGTGGGAAGAGGATTTCCACCTTCCTCCAGGTGCCAGAGGGTCCCGGAGGGAGGGGATTTTGATGTGGTTAGGCCCCTTGAGGCTCTGAGTTTATCAGCAAAAGCTTTCTCTTTGGCCCTAGCCACCCAGGTCCTCCTCCCCAAGGAGTCCTCCAAGTTCATGGAAAGGCCAACTGTGAGAGCAGGAAAAAAAAAAAAACCCAACAACTATGGAAAGAAAGTAAGGAATCATTTTCTTTTCATGGCACTTATAACTAAACAGAAGGTTGAGAGTTTGTTCCTTAATCTGGAACAGTGATTCTCAAATGAGAGGTTGGCCTACTACACAAAGGGCTTTCAAAGGCTCTACTACCCCTAGTTGACAATCAGTGTACGTAATGATAGAAATTCCTGATGGGAGTGTGGTTGTACAGGACAACAGTGCCAAAGGCAGAACAAAAGCTAAAAAACCGTAATCTCTGTAGGGCAGACATCAAAATTAAGGAGTACATTTTTCTAAGACTTTTTTTTCTAATTAAAGTAAGTTAACAGAACAAGTCCTTCTCCCTGTAGCTACACTCATGACTGGGCTCTGTGCTACACAGCCAAGAACAGTAAGTGTACCCATTGATCTGGAGTAACCATACTGGATTAAAGAAATACAATTCTGTCCTAAAGGCCATTTCCAGAATTGCTCTGTCCTAAAGAGGTACTCAATGCTAGGATGAACACAGGCTAATCACCGTATGGTTTCTCGGAAGACTGGTTTTTCTCTGTTTCTTTCTCTTTGATACTGTACAAGGGGTCCACCAACTTGTTATGAACAAGCATTAAACCTGTGAAAAATTAAAAACAAAAGTAGTTAATGCAGGTAAAGGCAGAGTTCCATGATTATGAACAGTAATCTCAGAGCTCCCAAATTTTGTCCTAGTACTAAAAATCATCTTTTCTCTGTGGCTCCAAATGATAAAAATACTAAGAGTAGGAAGAGAATTTATTATTCCCAATGAATGCTAGAATCCATAGCCTTCTGTAAATTCATTCTTTAGAGGTGTTGGCTACTGAAAGGTTAATCTTTTCACCAAAGCATAAATTCCTAATTTGCCTGCTTCGTTAATGATGGTTTTCCCCTAAGTTGGCTTAAAGCAGTGTGTCCTTTTTCTTTTATTTATTTACTTTTAAGATTTAAGTATTTTTAAGATTTTATTTATTTAGCAGTGAGAGCACAAGCAGGGGGAGTAGCAGAGGGAAAGGGAGAAGCAGGCTCCCCACCAAGCAGGGAGCCTAACTTGGGGCTTGAGCCCAGCACCCTGGGATCATGACCTGAGCCAAAGGCAGACACTTAACTGACTGAGCCACACAGGTGCCCTGCAGTGTGTCCTTTTTAAAATAGAAGAGAAAGAGATCCTCATGAGAGTTCAGTGCCCTACCTAGAGGGAAAAGGCCTGTATGAGACCTTGAAAGATAAAAAAAAAAAAAAAACAAACCCAGAGCTTCAATAACCCTGTCAAGAGATCACCACATACCCCACGGACTACTTTTCATTTCATTGTCTTTTTGCCTCCTTAGAACGAACAGGCCTCCAGAAATAGACCTTTGCAGTCATGGATGGAAGAGCAATGACTGTATTCTGGGATCGTTAAGGTTCGGTTTTTATTAAAATCAGAATTGTCTCTGAAAATGGCCAGAGCAAGAAAATGAGGTCCACTTCTCACGCCCGGCATACCCCGAATTTGGCCACCCACTGCCATACCTACCTTTTGCCTCCCCTCACCTTTGAAATACTTGACTGTTTTCACTTTCAGCTCCAGGGTGGCGTCCTCGTCACACACAAACACTGTGCAGGGATGCTGCTGGAAGGCGGATACGGTCCACATGTGGCTCACTCCCTCCTCGATGGCCTTGTATAGGGCAAAGGCCTTGTGAGCACCTGTGATGAGGATCATCACCTGGGGGTCAGAAAACAAGCCTGTGACAGAGGAGAATGAGCACTGGGACCCAGAGTCCAGAAACCTGAGTTTTGGTCTTGTCACCACAACTGGCTGTAAGCACTGTTGTTTTTAATAGACCATTTTACGTTGTTTGCCTGCAGCACGCTGTGCTCACTGCTGTCCGCCTTCCCACACAGATCCCCGGAGGCTGGGAGCATCACAATCCCCATGTTCTAAGATGAGGAGATGCGCTCCAGGGAATTAAGTCAGTTCTGATCTGGAGTCAGTGCTCTAGGCCACCCTGTGGTGGTGTCTCTTGGTACCTTTGATGATGGCTACGAACACGTATGCCAGGCAAAGGCCCACGCCTCTTATCCCAGCAGTTGGGACACTGAGTCCCAAGGGGTCCTAGGCTGGGTGAGTTTTCACAAGTGCAATCTGAACAATAGGGGTTCCAACCTGCACCACCTGCTGGGGGCTACAGAAGTGACAGTAATGGTTATATGTGTGGCCCCTGGCATTTGATCCCACAAAGGCTGCCCCTTAATCTGGTCACTTTCAATGTCAAGTATTTGACTGATAGGAGTTGGGGTGATGTTTTATGTTCAAATGAATTGAGACTCCCCCAACAGTTAAAATATAAAGAACATAAGTGCTGGAAAGTGATTGTAAAGGAACTCTGCTCTCTCAATCTCCTCTCACTGTAATTCGATTATACCATGAAGTTGTGAATGGGATTTACTGTTTCTCTCTTAAAAGATGAGAAACCAGAGGTATAGAGAGAATGCAACTCTTTTAGTTCAGGATTCCAGAAGTCCTGATTTCCAGACCCAGATCCTTTCCCCAGATCCTAATATCCTCCCATGACAGGGAAGAGCCCTCACACCCTAGTGTTTCTAAGCTGTAAGGCCAAACACAGCAGAGTAACTGCCAGAGATACTGGGTCAAGGTCACCCAAGAGAAAGCTGGTAATGTCATTCTTTTCACAAAAGTTCTCTTGAAATAGGGAGCTTTTTTTCATATATGGAGATGCTTGTTTACAGATCTGGGCAAAGAAACAAGCTACAATGTTAGTAGCTGCTTCCCACTGAATATACCCCTGAAAGGAAGAGTAAATGCTTTTAAAATTCTAGTGAAAGACAATAAAGAAACTGGAACCACAGAAAATTGATACCCAACTTTCTAGGGAATAACACACTAAAGTGCATTTAGACACTTAGGTTTAAATCACAATTCTCCGTATTTATGACTCCTCGAGCACAAGGCCATGACCAAAAATATCCTGGAGTAGCAGAGGGAGCCCCCTTCAAACAGTGACCTCCACCACCTGCAGAGAACCAGCAGTCCCTCTCGTGCCTGGGCAAAGGCAAATTCCTATTCAGACATTTGAGTAGTGCTGGGCTCCTCTTTGCCTTGAGAAGCTCCAAAGGGGCGCATAAGCAGAGGCCAGGGAGCCTGCAGCCTCCCATGCAGCCAGTGTGGAAAGGGTTCTGCTGAGAACAGACTAACAGTTGCCTCCAAAGAGGAGGGAGGACCAGTGAGGATCAGCTGGGATTTTAGCCATATTTTTAGTAACAGTGTAGTCAGGTGGTACCTGTATAGTTGGCAACAAAAAGTCAAGTCCGACCCCCCAAGGAAGGCCTGGGCTTCCAGGTGCGCTTACCTCTCTAGCATCCATGAGAGTGCCCACACCCACTGTCAGGGCCATGGTGGGCACCTTGGTGAGATCACCATCAAAGAACCTAGCATTGGCCAGGATGGTGTCCATGGCCAGAGTCTTCACACGGGTTCTGGACACCAGACTGGAGCCCGGTTCATTGAAGGCAATGTGTCCATCAGGGCCGATGCCTGCCAGGGAGAAAAGGCCAAGGCAGCTCTGTCAGTCCCAGGGAGCCAAGAGTTCAAGAACAGACAATTTACCCTGCCCCACCTCGGGCGTATAATACCCTTAAAATCCTAGCTCTTTTCTCACTCACCCCGGGCAGGTACATTTAAGCATAAGATCCTCCCCTTTCTCCACCTCCTGCCCGTTTCTGTTTGAGGTACCCACACGTCCTGGTCACCTTGTGATACCCCTCAGAAAACTAATAGGTACTCCAAATAGCTTCCGCTTCCCTAGGTCACTGAAGGGTAACTTCTCTCTCCTGCCAGTAGTTAGGGGGCCTGCTGCTGAGATAGAGCAAATAACAAAACTGACTCGACAAGGAGTTGCAAAGTTTATAAAGGCTTAGAACATGAGTGCTCTTAGCCTCTTCCTCCTACCTTGAATTAAAGAATTAAGTCTAGAGTAGTCAAAGGCAGCCATACTCCTGTGGGCGGCTCCAGAGGTGGCAACAGATGGAAACATAAGGGAGCACCCAGGGAAGGAACAAAGCACAAACTGACAAGGGGACACCTTGGGTGTCCTGCTTTCTTGCCACTGCTCCAGCTAACCTGGGGCAAGTCACAAAACTTCTCTGGGGTTCAGTGGCTATCTATAGTGTGGGGGGTCTGAGTGAGGAATCTTCTCCAACTATAGGAATCTGATTTTTACTGTTTAGGTGAGTCCCATGGACTGATCCATATGAAACCTTAGGACTAGGGAATAGACTCTTGAGAGTCCCAATCCAAGCATCTCACTTTACCACCAAGGCACGGAAGTGCAGAAAGAGATGTCCAAGATCACATGGTCACTAAACAGCACAGCCAAGGCAGGGAGAGAGGGCACCTATCTATGTCTTCCCTGCCTCCTCAGGGGAATAAATGCTTTCCGCTCTTACTAGGGCAGTGAGAAAGCTGGTGGGAGACAGGCCTGGGTCCTGTCCTGTCCTGTCCTTCCACGTGTTCTCAGCACCCTGCACCTGCCCTGGACATGTGCCGCCAAGTGTCAAGCTCACCTCCAACGAACAGCTCAATTCCCCCTGCAGCTCTGATCTTCTCTTCAAAGGTGTCACACTCAGCCTGCAGGTCAGGTGCATTCCCATCCAGAATGTGGGTGTTTTCTGGGAGGATGTCAATGTGCTTGAAGAAGTTGTTCCACATGAAGGAGTGGTAACTCTCCGGGTGGTCTCGAGGAAGGCCTGTGGGACCATGGCGACACTTAGTCACGCCCCAGCTAAGGCAGGGCCACCCTCCCAAGGCGGACGCCAGGATGCCCTCAGACCTCCCCAGACACTTTGAGAGGAATGCCCATCAGGGGCCCTGGGGCATCAGTCCGCAATCAGCCATGATTGGCTGAGATCCCTGTGTCCACCCACCACCACCACCTGTGATGGCAGGACTTGGCCACAGTGACTGTACACCGGGAGCCTAAGAAATCCCCTCATTTTCATCTCCTTTTCACAAGGGAGTAACTGTAGACAGGAGGCCAGGGCCACTCTGGGTTTCTGGAGGAGGCCTACAACCTGGGGTTAGAGCTTGGCCCATCTGGGAAAGTAAGTAAGCATACCCCTTGCCCTGTGCCTCCCATCCCACCATTCATCCCCAGATACACCCCTCAGCCTGAACCCCAACTTCAATACCAGCTGGTTGGAGACAATTATCTCAAGGCTTCCCCAAAACAATTTTTAGCCAAGAAGAAAAAGTTTCAAGTGAGTGAGTGTTTCATTAAACATGAAGAATGTTTAATGTCAGCTGTAAAAAGGAATGAAATTCTGACACACACTACAAGGACAAACCTTGAGGACATTTCGTTGAGTGAAATAAGACAGTCACGAAAAGACAAATACTCTGTGATTCCACTTAAATGAAGTATCTGGAGCAGTGAAATTCACAGAAGCACTGAAACGGTGGTTTCTAGGGGCTGGGAGCATGGGCCATGGGCAGTTGGTGTCAAATCGGTAGAAAGTTTCAGTTTTGTAAGATGAAGACTTCTGGACATTATTAAAAAAATTATAGTTTTGAAAGAAAAAGTTCTGGAGATTGGTTACACAACACTGTGAATATACTTAACACTGCTGAACTCTACATATGAAACAGGCTGGATGGCAAATTTACCACAATTGAAAACAAAAACATTCAAAGTGAAGCCTTACAAAATGATGGCAGGTGGGAGGAGCGGGTAGGTGGAAGTGACAGAAGACCAAGGTATAGCTTTCCAGCACTGGAAGGGACACCAGTCTCTCCTCCTCTCCCAGTGCCTGGCATAAAGGGGAGCAGGAGGATGAACACTGGAGACAGCAACCAGACAGACACTGAGGGACGATCCCATCTGTAATCACTGGTTACAGAAAGAAATGGCAAGGAGTTGGGGAGGAGGTCTAATATTTACAACGCTTGCTCTGTACAAGAGGCTTCCGTATCTGTTAGATCACGTAATGCTTACGACCTGAGGTCAGCCTTCAGAGCATTGTATAGCTGAGTACACCAAGGCCTGGAAGAGAGAGCTTTCGCTAACTGAACTTATCACCAAACAACACTGGTTCCCGGAGACCTCCCTATTCCTCTCCGGGAATCAGGGAAGACCTGGAAAGAGACAGACTCACCCACATACTCGTCCATGTTGAAGGTCTTCACATATCTGAAGGACAGGTCTCCATTCTTATAGTACTCAATGAGCTTCTTGTAGCAGCCAATTGGGGTGCTCCCTGTGAGAGAGGCCACAGCCATGAACACCCTTCGGCTCCCAGCTCCCGAGGACTCCCAGGAAAGAGGGCTACTCAACAGGGAGAACCTGGCAGATCTCAAGTCCTCCCCCGGTGCCCCAATCCTAATGGCCATCCCATCAGTGCTGCTGAAGGCCAGCTTCCCACTAGACTGGAAGCTCCGGGAGGCCAGGGCTGTGTCTGTCTGGTCTGCTGCTGAATCCCAGCACTCAGCACACTGTTGACTGGAATGACTGGAATTAATAACCCGATTAAATGTCACACTGACCTATTCCGTGAGCACCTCGTATGGGAGGCAGTGGGCCACATGATGGGAACACAGAGGGCAGAGAGACACAGCAGCCATTTGGAACGAGCTCACTGGCTAGGACTGGGTCATGAAACAGTAATGTCAGCTGTGACCAGGCTAAGTCTGTGGGTTCAGGGAAGACTTCCCTGAGGAGCAGCATACTCCGGTGAGTTGAGTCTCAAAAAAGTCAAGGTCATAAAGCACACGAAAAAAGCAGGAGGACCTCTGTAGATTAAAGAACTAAATATGCATGAAGTCTGGACACTGGATTATTGGGGGGGGACTATAAAAGATAAATATGGACAATGAGGAAAAAATGTTACTAGCATCTGTATATCAGATGATATTACGGAATGACTTTTTTTTTTTTTTTTTAAAGATTTTATTTATTTGACAGAGATCACAAGTAGGCAGAGAGGCAGGCAGAGAGAGGAGGAAGCAGGCTCACTGCTGAGCAGAGAGCCCGATGCGGGGCTCGATCCCAGGACCCTGAGATCATGACCTGAGCCGAAGGCAGAGGCTTAACCCACTGAGCCAGCCAGGCGCCCCGGGAATGACTTTTTTAATAGGTATGATAACTATTGTAGTTAGGTAAGAGAATGTCCATGTTCTGAAGAGACAGATGCCAAAAGATTTAGAGATCAAGTGTCAGGTTTAGGGCTTACTTTCCACTGGCTCATAAAAAAAATGTGTGTGTGTATGTAAATGTGACAAATATTAGCAATGGGTGAGCCCAGGAAAATGGCACTGTGCTATTCTTTTAGCTTTTGTGAATATTTAAAAATTTTTAAAGAAGATGGAGAGAAAAAAGCCGCACCCCAATCAGATCTCTCTTCTCAAAACCTACTAATAATGACTTCTCATTTCACTGGGTAATAACTGGTCCTAACAAAGTCTCTGTAAGGTGGCCCTGGGTCATCACCCTCACCCGTTCTCATCCCGCTCCAGGCAATTCCACCTCAGCCCTCAACAGCTGTTCCTTCAGGTCCCTGCATGACTCTCACCTCTTCTGGCTTTTACTCAGATGTTGCCTTCTCGGGGGGCCTTCCCTGCCATCCTGTGTAACACTGCCAAGCCCCACCCCTGCCTTGACACTCCCTGTCCTCCCCCTCCCCCTGCCCCCAGCCCACCGCACTCCCTGCTTCATTTTCTTCCTTTACTCATCGCCATCTAATATACTCTCTATTTTGTCAAGTAACTTGCTTATTAACTCTCCCTCCTACTATCATTTAAGCTTCAGGAAGGCGGGAGTTTATGTCTTTTTTGTTTGTCGTATCCCCAGCACCTAGAAGAGCTAGGCATACGGTGGGCATTCACCCGTGGGTCAAAGTTCCCTCCCTGCCCCCATCACCAGTCTGCCCCTGTGCCCGGACCTCAGCCACGCCTGAGCCACACAGCCTCCCTGGACTCCCCGAGCTTTGTCATGTCCACTTTCCAAACTTCCAGCTTTCCCCTTCATTCTGTGAGCTCCCCATTATCTAGCCAATAAATTCCTCTTCTGCGTATGTCAGCCAGAGCTGCTTTCTTTGCTTTCCACCCGGAGCCCCTGACTGGTGTTTCCCCTAATGGAAGCCATGTTCCAGGGAACCCAGATGGACATGCCGTACTGGTTCAAGGACAGTCAGGAAGGGGCCAGGTCTCAGAGGGCCCCGAAGGCCTGACTGAGGAGCAAGGATCTGACTGTGCAGGTGACGGGGAATTGGGGATTTGGGAGGGATCTCAGCAGAAGCAGAGATTCTGACCCAGAGAAGCTCCACAGTTAGAAAACAGGATGTTAGTGCAGCCCATCCTGGGCCTGAGCTGTTAGTGGTTTTGCAGATACGTGCAGATACTGGTCCCACAAACCTCTAGTGCAGAGGCCCGCAAACTTCATCCCACAGGCCACATCGGGCAGCCTGCCTGTTTTTATACAGCCCATCAAGTAAGAATGGTTTTTACACTTCTTAAGTTTATAAAGAGTGTGACTTTGTGACATGCGAGAATTATATGAACTCAGACTTCAGCGCCCATCAGGTTTCATGGGTAGATGGCCAGGCATATTGTTTTATGTGTTGTCTGCAGCTGCTTCTGAGCCACAAGGACAGTTACGTAGTTGTGACAGAGGCTGTATGGCCACAGAAGCATCAAATATTAACGATGTGACCATTCACAGAAAAACTTGGAAAAGTTCAATTAAAACTTGGAAGGCCCCTGCTCTAGTGAATGGGACACTGGGGCAAATCCCCCCAAACTTGGAGAGAAAGAATCAGGACATATGCCTTGAGGAGCTGGGGTAAAAGAAATATCCTCCCATGAAGGCAACAAGCTGACTTTTTCATAAGAGACAGACTGGGGCGTTGAGCGTCTGCCTTCAGCTCAAGTCATGATCCCAGGATCAGCCCCGCACTGGGCTCCCTGCTCCGGGCAAAACCTGCTTCTCCCTCTCCCACTCCCCCTGCTTAGGTTCCCTCTCTCGCTGTCTCCCTCTGTGTCAAATAAATAAATTAAAACTTTAGGGAAAAAAAAAAGCTTTTTCACATAGGTCCTGTATCTAGTTAAACCTTACAGAAAATGTTTTGAGTGGATGATCTTCTCAATTCTCCCAAGGATGGTGCTCAGCTCACAGCACTCTAGACGCACAGAAGTTCATTCATTACATAAAATGTATGCCTGAAGGCATTAGGATTTAATTCTGTTAAGAACTCCTAGACTCCCGAGACAGCCTGTTGAGGACAGGGCTGACTTAGAATGGAGCCTAAAAATCTTCCTGCCTAACCAAGATCCCTTCTACTCCAGAACTCTTCAGGAGCAGGCAGCATCTAAACCAAACTATAAAGGAAGCCGTGTCCTCTTGTTTTGCATTTTCAGGAAGCAGGGCTGTTCACTCATTGCACCAGGACCTCAGAGCCCTCCCTGTAAGTCCTTTGGCTTAGTGAGCCCACGTACCCAGACCCCTAAAAGCCCTAATGTCCACTCACTCCCCGACAATCCACAGCACCCTCTCCATCCCCCAACGCACCAGTGGGAAGTCCCAGGGTGAAATACTTGTCTGGCCCTGGGTTAAACTGGATGATGCGATTCCTGATGTATTTGGCTGCCCACTCGCTGGCCTGAGAATAATGGTCCAGGATGATGAGCTTCATCTTGTCCTGTAGGGGGCAGGTGACAAAAGGAATCAGTGGTAAGGGAGAGGGAGAAAGGGATGCAGGTGGCTGGGGAGAGGGGAGAAGCCCTTCTCACCCAGCAACAACCTCTCCCCTGGGTGTCTGAGCAAGGAAGAGGAAGAACCCAACTTTCCTTTAACAGAGGAATTAATAAACTGGGCCAAGTGCCTCCACCACCCACCAGGAGGCGCTGCTGTGAGACAGACTGGGGTTCTAATCTCAGTTCCTCCATTTACCAACCACAGGACCTTGGTCAAAGGACTCAAGTTCTAGCCTGTTTCTTCGTACGTGAAAATGGGGACAAGAGGACCTACCCGACAAATTTCACGATGGTGAATATTAAATAAGGATGGATGTAAACCACACAATATTCAATATGTTGGCTACAGTAGTTCGACCCAGACCTCTTTCCCCACTTCACCACTACACGCTGGATATTCTGTACCCACGGCCTCCTCCTCAGTAGAGGATTCATGGGATCATACTGGGCCACTCTAGCAGGTGAGACCCATGGGGTTTGCCTGGAGAGGTGTATTCCCCTGCAGCCCTGGAGAGGGGTGCTCCCGCCGGCCGGCCTTGCTCTGTGGACCCTCAGTTTCCCCCAGTGCACTCGGGGCCAATGTAGTCGCCCCTCACTGCGATCAGTCAGAGTGGGAGGCGGAGGTGGCCGTCTGGGCCCCCCGAAGGATACAGGAGTATTTTCCCGACAACGATGGCGATCCCATCGCCCCTCCGGCGCTGCACCGGGAAAGGGGGTCCCGGCAGCTCGCTGGGCTCCCGGCTCCTGGGGACCGGAAGCTGGGGCAGGGCCTCGACCCCCCCGCCCGCGCCCACCCGTTAGGAGGGTCCCCGCCAGCCCTGCTCCCCACTTACTCGGACACCTCCCGCCGCGGCTGCAGCAACTGTAGCGGCGGTCCCGCCCCGCGCGGGTCACGTGGCCCCGGGTCACGCGGAGCGGCTCTCCAGCGGAGGGGCTGACTGCGGGGCCGACCGCCGGCCCCTGGCCGCAGGCGGACTCTTCCCTGTGTGGGGTTAGCCATCGTCTCCTCTCCACTCCAGGAGCGCGCAGGCCTGGGAGCAGGTGTGGGAGGCGAGGCTTGTAGACGGGTTTTGTGCAGCCCGGAGACTTGGGGACCCCAGGTGGCCCCAAGGAATGAAGTGCCCCGGCCTGGGGGCTGGAGCCAGGTCCTTAGTGCTGGGCGGAGGGAGGGGGAAGGAAAAGCAAAATCGCTTACTTAGAGTCTCCAGGGTTGGGCCAGGCTCTGCCTTCAATTTAACTTTTTTAGATGTCATTTTTTTAACCTAAATATTACAACTTTTTTGCTTTAAAAATAATTGGATTTTTCTTGCTTTAATCTTAATCTTCACAGCAGCCTATATTAGAGAAAGAGGGAGGTCCCTGGTCTCCCCAGCTCCCCACCCAAAATAACATTGCTAAGAGTTTAGGCCACATTTCCACATTGTTTTTCCCTGAAGATACCTAACATTTTACAGAACTGGGAACACACCACACATAACGTTCCCAGGGAGCTAGGTGGCCTTATTCCACAGGTCCTGATGTTGGTCTCACCCCTCCCCGCCCCCCCCCCCGGGGGGGGGGTCAGCTCCAGCCCAGCTTGATAGAGGGGGGTGTTACTCTGGTGAGGACCTGATGAGATGAGGGGATGGAGCTAATCCCTCCACAGTTCTAAGACGTGTTCTTTGGCTTCAGGGTTGGTTTAGTTGTTTAAAAAAAAACCCAATGCAGCCAGAAACCTCATCCCAGCTTGGGCACTCTAGATGTTTCACAACCCCAATCTCCAAACGCAGCAGATAAGGGGGCCTGGTATGCAGCCACTGCATTCAGATCGTTCCAGAAAGAGTGACTTCATGCGACTTTAATTGGGCCTGGGGCCCTCACCCCTACCCCCATTGCCCTTCCTGGAGGGAACCAGTTCCAGGTCTCTCTTAACCCTGGCAAGTCCGGAGTCAGCTAGGGGACAAATCAGGAAGATCTGGTCTAGTCAAGCCCTGGTTCTTGAGTGAGTGACTCAAGCAAATGACTCAACTTCTCCAGCTCGGTATTTTCTCCTCTAGAACACAGGAACTAAATGGGCGTAAGTAATCCTGACCTCAGGTATCTGTTGTGAGTACTGGATGGAACAGTAGCATAGCTTGGCATTCATGGCCAGCCGTGGTTACCCCGCATGTCCTCGTGGCCTCCTTACAACCTACTCTCTGCTCTAACCTCCTGCCTCGTCGTGGTCCTCCCACTGCATGCCTGGGTTTGAGCTTACCTATGCCCATTCTTCCATCCTCTTATTTTAGAACTGAAATGGACTTATTCAAAGAATTGTGGGTTCATCCTTACAGTGGAACACTCTGCAGTTGTTTTGTGGATGGATGTTTTCGTATTCTTTCGTTATCCTTGCTGTGAGTAAACACGTTGCCCCAGAAAATCCTGCTTGGGCCCTGGGGTTCACGTGGGTTTTGGTTTGTGAGGCTGGTCCTAGCCTCTGGCCTAATCAGTTAGAGAGCTCCATGGCCCTGGCCGTGATTGATTCAGGGCTAGGCAGACACGGAAGATACGAACCCAACAGCCACTCACAGCCTCCCTTCTCCTTTGCTGCTTCCCACTGTAGCCTCTGGAAAGTTAGCTACTCTCCCAGCTTCTCAGTCAGGAAGTGGCCAGGTAACCTAGTTCTGGCCAACGAAGTCAAAAGACGGCTCTGGGAAGATACTCTACTTTCTGAGAAAAGTGACATGCTTGCAAAACAAACTATCTGTGTTCCTTCCCTTTTCTTCCTGCCTCGAAGGCAGATGTGATGCCTGGAGCTGGGAAAGCCGTTTCATGACCATGAGGCAACTAGCCTAAGAATAGAGTGGAAAATAGAAAGAACATAAGTCCTTGATATTTGACCAGTGCTGGGACTCCTGCTTCTGGACTTCTTCTAAATAAGTCATAAATATCCTATGGTTTAAATGTTAAGCCACTGTTAGTAGAGTTTTCTGTAACTGAAGTTGAAAACGTGACTCATCATTACAGTGGATGACTCAGGTCTTCCTCAGGGTTTATGATGGTATTTTGGGAAGATACATTGTGGGGAGCTGTAAAATCCAGGAAAGCTTAGAGCTACAGTGAGAAAAGTAGAACCAAGAGAAAAGAGACACAGAACCCTGATGACGTCACTTGAACCACTGAGATGTAGCCATGTCTGAAGCCAAATATACCCCATTAAGTTTAATGATTGGGTGAATGAATTAGTGAAAACATAAATAATTTTTTTTTTACCCTGAGGCTAGTTAGAGGAAATTCTGGAAGGATACTTGATTATCTATATTGCTGCATACTAGATGATCCCAAAACTCAGTGGCTGAAAACAGTAAGTCCAATAAAAGCCAAAGAAAAATGTGCTGTGAAGCCACGAAAGGACTAGGAAGGAAACTCAAAGATGTGTCACAGAGAGAAATTGATCCGAATAGGCTATGTCTGCTATAATATTCCAATGATATAATATTCTGGAAAAGGCAAAACTAGAGAGTAGAAAGATCAGTAGTTGGGGAGGAAGCCGTTAGCTAGGAGGAAGGCATGAATAAGTGGAGCCCAGAGAATTTTTAGGGCAGTAAAACTGTTCTGTATGATGCTGTCAGGGTGAATACGTGTCTCTCTACCTGTGTCTAAACTCAGGGAATGTATGAGAATGAATCCTGATGAAAATAGTGGGCTTTGGCTGATTACAACATGTCAGTGTGGGTTCATCATACAAATAACAAGTGTTTATTATATTTATAGTAACACACATGTCCCCCTCTGGTGGGAGATGGTAACAATGCGGGAGGCTGTGCATCTGTGGGGACAGGAGGCATTGAGGCATTCTCTGAACCTTCCTCTCAATTTTGCTGTGAACCTTAAACTGCTCTAAAAAAATCCTTTAGGACACCTGGGTGGCTAGGTCAGTTAAGCATCTGCCTTCGGCTCAGGTCCTGATCTCAGGGTCCTGGGATTGAGTCCTGCATGGGGGGGGGGTCCTTGCTCAGTGGGGAGCCTGCTTCTCTCTTTGCCCCTCCTCCCACTCATTCTCTCAATCTCTCAAATAAATAAAATCTTAAAAAAATAAAAAAATAAAAAATCCTTTGAAAACCATTTATTTTTTATGATCTCTCCTGGTTTCTGTATGCTAGATATTCAGACAGGGTACAGTAGAGATGGTGAATAGAGCCTTGAATGTAAGACTCGAAGCCTGAAGCTGGAATCCTGAGGCTCATTTACCCACGCCTGGTGGTTGATGCTGGCTGGCAGCGGAAACACTCACCTAAGGGCCTCTCCTTGTGGCCTGGGCTTCCTCACAACATGGCGGCTGGGTTCCGAGGGCAAGCGTATGGGACAGACCTGGGTACCGTAATGTGGAATGGACTCCAGACCCACACTGTCTGGATTTGAATCCCAGCTCTACTGCTTGCTGATTGGGTAGTTTCTGGTAAGTCACTTAATTCCTCCATGCCCTTATTGCTTCATCCATAAAAAAGGAAAAATATCTTCCTTATAGTATTTACTATTATAATGAAGAATGATTACCTCAGGGAGGAATACATGATTTAATAGATGTAAGGTGCTTAGAATAATGCCTGGCACAGAGTTAGCCCTCGCTAAAGGGATCATTTTGAGATGGGTCTTGAAATAGAATTAGGATTTGGTGAGTGAAGAAGAGGAGGATGTCACTACAGGCGGGGGGGGGAGCAAAAGCATGGAGGCACAGAGGCTGCGGCTGAGGTGTTCACCAATGTAAAAAATAAAAACACGGAACACCCAGTTAAATTTGAATTATTCCTAATTGCCTACAAGTATGTACTTTGAGATTTAAAAAATTACAAAAAATACACTTGTTCTTTTTTTCTTTTCTTTCTTTCTTTCTTTCCTTTTTTTATTTAGGATATACTTAGTTATTTGAGAGAAAGAATGCAGGGTGGGGAGAGGAGTAGAGGGAGAGAGAAAAATCTTAGACTCCCTGCTAAGTGTGGAGCCTGACTTGGGGCTGGATTCCATGACCCATGAGATCATGACCAAGACCAAAATCAAGAGTTAGATCCTTAACCCCCAGAGCCACCCGGGTGCCCCAAGACATAGTTATTCTAAAAACAGATTTGTTATTTATCTGAAATAAATTAGAAGTATCTGAATTATGTACCTATTTATTTCATTATATTTCCCTGGTGATTTGGCTCTCCTTAATGGTTCCTTGTTTTGAAGAATTTGCTTATACAGTTCCCTGAAGTTACAGTCTATGTTCCATTTACATTTTAACATGATTTCTGTGGTGGTCATATTCAACTTATTCTGTTCTTGGCCAGTGAGAAATCATGCTCAGTGTTGGCATTACAAGCCAGTATATGGAAGGCATACTTGCGAAGAGTTCACATCACTAAGAATTGCTCTTCAAATGTGAATGGTTGAAGGACATAATACCATCTTTCATAGCATAACCTGCTTTTCCACTCTTTCGGATTACATTGCATCTCTGGATCAATAACTTTGTGAAGTGTCTACTAACAAAAAGGAGCATTGCCATCAATTTCTATTCCTTTTTTCTTCGGTACTGCACATGTTGATTCTACTTGTTCCTGTGCTGAAAGAGCGTTTAGTAACATCTACGTAAAATAATTGAATTTTTCAATGGCGAAATCCATTTCAAAAGGTAGTCATAGCAAATGCTGAAATAATTATCCACTTTGGGCTGAAATTTATTTCCCAGCTCATACATAATATCCCTTTGAAGAATAGCTTTGAGGGGATCCTGGGTGGCTCAGTCGGTTGAGCCTCTGACTCTTGATTTCAGCTGGGGTTATGATCTTGGGGTCGTGGAATTGAGCCCCACATTGGACTCTGCGCTCAGTGTGGAGTCTGCTAGTCCCTCGCCCTCTGCTCCTCCCC